CGTGTGCCTTAAAAGATGGGAAGAATTTGCCACAAAGTATTAACCAATGAGAGGAAATGCCAAAGATGCATCGCCATATTAAAACTTCATGCCCCAGTAGACCATTCACGATCACTTAAAATTGAACTAAACTTATGTTTGATTTTGAAAGGGAGCAGCAGAGCTAGTTTATGAATTATGTATATAAATACCTGAATGGCCTTCTGGGTCAGTGGTTCTCAAATGTGGCCTTCTATTAGTTATCTATTAAAATAAAAATTTATTTTTATTATGAAGCTTTTTGTTTGTTTGTTTGTTTTTAAAAAGGATTATTGAGCATCACACCAGACTTAACTGAATCAGAATCACTAGAGGTAAGACCTATTACTCCCACTCCCCACAACCCTAACACACACCCAACTATCCCCCTCACCAAGGACTTCATAAGGTTCCAACATAGCCAGTATAACCATTGGTATTTGACATTATATGACTTATTACAATTAGGTCCATTTGTGTGTGTGTGTGTGTGTGTGTGTGTGTGTGTGTGTGTGTGTGATAGAATCACCTTACACCTCATATATCCAGTTCAATGCTTCTTGGTCTAGGCTGCACATTATAATTACCTGGAGAGCTTTATAAATCTTGTTGCCCAAGATTCTTCTCAGAGCAATTACATCAGAAACACCAAGCATGATACCCAACTATTTTTAATTTTTAAAGCTCCCCAATTGATAGCAACATGCAGTTAAATTTGAGACTGTTGGTGTATAGGTTTACCTTGTATTTTTCTGCATCCTTTCTAATACATAGTTACATAGCTCAAAACCCAGAACACTGCCTGGGAGGTATGGAGGCCAACCATAAATGCTCCACTTTGATGGAACACAAAAGTGAGGTTGACTATTTGGGGTCACACTACAATAACTCTTTTTTGTTTTAACCCCATGATTGCTATACTTATATATCAAAAACAAAAGATAAAAGAAAAGAAACATACCTAAACCTGTGCAATGTATATGTCATTATTCAAATTTGTTGAGACAAGATCATACAGGCCACTGATTCAGAGGGAGCTACCTAAACAAGTAACATGTGGACCCGAGTCTGAGTGACACCAGAGCTTACGTTGTCTGCACTATACCAGTGATTCCCAGAGTGTGGTCCCCAGACCAGCAGCATCAGCAGACCTGAGAACTTACAAAAAGGGCAAATTTTCCCTAACTGGTTTGGCTCAGTGGATAGAGCGTCGGCCTGAAGACTGAAGGGTCCCAGGTTTGATTCCTGTCAAGGGCATGTACCTTGGTTGAGGGCACATCCCCAGCAGGGGGTGTTCAGGAGGCAGCTGCTCAATGTTTCTCTCTCATCGATGTTTCTAACTCTCTATTCCTCTCCCATCCTCTCTGTAAAAACTCAATAAAATATATTTTTTTTAAAAAAGGGCAAATTCTCTGGCTCAGTCTCAGACCTACTAAATCATAATCTTTTGGGCTAGGACCCAGACATCTGTGCTTATCAAGTCTACCAGATGATTTAGAGTCACACTAATGGTTAAAAAAATGGTATTATATTATCCATTCTATCAGCTGCCAACTTCTGGAGGCTCAGTTTAGCCTTTGGTAAGAGAAATAAAAATATGGGGGTAACTCAGTGCATGAGATGGGGTGAGGGGCTGAGAAATCCTCCATCACTATTTTCCTTTTCTCTAAGACCCCATTTATATATCCTATATAATAAAAGGGTAATATACAAATTGACTAAACGGCGGAATGACTGAAATGCCCACCCTCTCACACTGGCTGGCCCCGCCCCTGATGGCCCCCATTGGGGCTGGCCGGCTGGACCTCACCAGCCCATGAATTCGTGCACTGGGCCTCTAGTATATATATATAATTCATTTCAGAGAGTAAGGTAGAGGGAGAGAGAGATAGAAACATCAATGATGAGAGAGCATCATTGATTGGCATGCCCCACACTGGGGATCGAGCCTGCAACCCAGGCATGTGCTGTGACTGGGAATTGAACCATGATCTCCTGGTTCATAGGTAGACACTCAACCACTTAACCACACTGGCCAGACCCAGACCTCATTTATATTAATAATCTATGTTAGAGCCCTAACCGGTTTGGCTCAGTGGATAGAGTGTCAGCCTGCGAACTCAAGGGTCCCAGGTTCGATTCCAGTCAAGGACATGTACCTTGGTTGCGGGCACATCCCCAGTAGGGAGTGTGCAGGAGGCGGCTGATGGATGTTTCTCTCTCATCGATGTTTCTAACTCTCTATCCCTCTCTCCTCCTCTCTGTAAAAAGTCAATAAAATATATTAAAAAATAAAACAAACAAACTTATATTAAAAAAATAATCTATGTTAGAGTTGAGGGAATGCTATATGAGATGCAGTGCTGGAAAAAGACTAGAGGACTCTGGGGACCTTTACCCAAGGTGCCTTGCTGTGGTAAGCCACTTCCATGTGACTATTTTAAGATGTTGACGACTAGTTTATCCTTTTAATCAAAACATGGAGAGTTTTAAAAGGTTTCATTAAAAGTGAATATCTTAATTGGTTCCAGGAAAATGATTTTTTCTATCTTAAGGGCTTGAGATAATTGGTGTTCAGGAAACTAAGGGTAGGTGGTTTGCTTTCTGTGATGGCAAGCTGGTTCCGAGGCTGCCATCCTGTAACACATGAGTGCTGCTGATCTGCTTTAGTGCCTTTCTCCCTACATCTTAGGGCTATTTTAAAATTAAGTTGTACATTTGACTAAGGGAAAATAAACAAACATTAAAAGACCACTCTTGTTGGATTTATCAGAGACACCAGTTAACATTTTCTGAGCAAACTGTGAAATCGTTTGTTTTTAAAAAGTATGTAAAATATGCTCTAGGCATATAAAGGTCTGATGGAAAGTTATCTCATGGAGTTGGGAAGGGCAGAAAACAATGAAGAAAGAGAACAGAAAAAATAGTTAAAAAGGAAGAGAAAGAGTAAAAGAAAGGAGACAAGAATTGATAAGAGGAAGAGACAACGGAAGGGAAAAAATGGAGAGAATGGAGAAATGAAGAAAGAAAAGAGATCTGAAGGATAGGAAAGGGGGAAAGAAAAGTTGGGGAAAGAGGTTGGGAGGGGAGAAAAAGAAAAGAACAGAGTGCAAGTAGGCAAAGAAAAAATAAAAGAAATAAATGAATGCAGCCTTTGGAGCCTGGGAAACATTTTGTGAAGTGTGACTTGGATAAGACTTGTGCAGACTTGGCTCCTGAGGTCAACGAAAGCAGTAATCATGATTCCAGTTTGCAACAAATGGGGCGAAAGGCATCAGACCCCACATGGAGAGACCTAAAGTGACAGCAGTGGAGTAGTAATGTAGCAGCCATCAAGAATACAGGGATGCTGGGAGGTTGGATTATACTCTCCTTTATTCAGCAACCATTTTTTTAAATCTGATGCACAGTCCAATGTTAAAAAGAAATGTGTTTTCTTATTATAAGATCTTTTTTTTTAAAATATATTTTATTGATTTTTTACAGAGAGGAAGGGAGAGAGATAGAGAGTTAGAAACATCGATGGGAGAGAAACATCGACCAGCTGCCTCCTGCACATCTCCTACTGGGGATGTGCCCGCAACCCAGGTACATGCCCTTGACCGGAATCGAACCTGGGACCCTTCAGTCCCCAGGCCAACGCTCTATCCACTGAGCCAAACCGGTTTCGGCTATTATAAGATCTTTAAACTAGAGCAGAGATGCTTAGATGTTCACAGGAATGCATTTGAAGTTCTAATCTATAATAATAAAAGCAAATCGACAGAATGGCCAAAAAGCGGAATGACCGACCAGATGTCCTTCCAGAAGACCTTCCGGATGAAGCCAGGACTGCAGCTGCAGGATCAAGGCAGCCACCTCGGCTGCGAGGGAGGGATCGAGGCAGCCGCCGTGGCTACAAAGGCCTACTCTTGCGCAGATTTCATGCATCGGACCTATAGTATATTATATTAGTCTGTCCTTAGGATTTACTTAGGGCCAGGACTTGGTCTTTCTCACCTCCTTTCTTTCCCCATCCTTGCTACTCACTCAGTGGTTTGCTGCTGCCAGTGGTCAGTGCTGCTTTTTTTTTTTTATTGTAAGTCTTACTCTCTCTGAAGTCTGCATTCTAGCAGCATAGGTATAACTCTAAAGCCCCTTTCTCTTCATACATGTTTATGTATGTGTCATCTAGATACATTACACATCCAGATCCCTGTTAAGGAGAGTCCTGTATCTGTGCAGTGAACAGATTTATTACAGCTCCTCCCTCCCACCCAGTGTACCCCCACAAAGGCCTGGGTGTTAGCAGAGAACCATGTTTTTGAAGAGTAATGTGGTAGAAAAATTTAGCAAGTCCAAGCAAGAAGAGTGGTAAGGAGCAGACATGGGATAGAGACAGATGACCTGGAGTCAGAGGGATGGTGGATGGCTGTTTGTAATATGCATGAAGGAACCTAAAAATATATTCTGAAAGTTCAATTAGAGTTACCATAGTCACACCTGGATCACAGAGAACTGGATGCAGGGGCTACCTACAGACACTTGTGGTCCAGTCAGTGGCAGCATGGTCTTTTAGAAACTACTGAATTTATGGTGACTTTTCCCCAATGCAAGGGAAGGACCTCTTTGATGGTCCCGATTTATAGCCAAGTTTCAAGTCAAACACCAGACTATAGTTTAAAAATGAAGAGGCAATTTGGGCTTATTGAGATTATGTTATTATGGCTGAAAAAGAAAAAGAAATACTAAGAATTGAACTGAGTAAACCTTTCTCCTTTGCTCATTCTTGCTTTATGTGTACCGACAATGTATGAGCATTGGTGTGCCCAAGTCAGTCATAGTCCAAATGGTTACAACAACAGTCTAATCTAGGAAAGACTGGTCTGAAATGTGCAGACAGGGGGGGCTCTCCCAGAACTGTAGATTGCCCTCTTCCCCTCTCTCTTCTCTATGCTCCTCTGAGAAGAGGGTGAAGGTAAAATGGAAAAGGAAGTTCTTACATTCTTAAATCCTCGGTAAAGAATCTGGAGCTCCTTCTTGGTGAACTTGCTCTGGGCTTCCAGCAGCTCAAGGGCCTCAGGCCGATGCCTGACGGTGGCCATCTCCAGCTCATCCTCCACGCTGTCTGCAGAGGGAAACCAAGCAGAGTCTTAGAACAGCCACGGCTCCCCAGCGCTTATACAGTAAAACAAAAGAGCATTTACTAGATGCCTATTATTTTTCCAGAGGAATGGTTCTCATACTGCCAATCAATATGTATATTTCCCAGAGTTCAGACTATGAAGCCAAGCTAATACTACATAATGTTTTCATAGTTTCTAGTTATTAGACATTACATACTAACATTTCCCAGTAAGTTTGAAAAGTGAAAAAAATATAATGGAAAACTTAAAACGTTGGATTTGTGTATTTATAACAAGTACTAGTTATAAAAACAGGATTTTAGTTTAATAACAATCAACATCACCCTTGTATCATGCATCTATGAGTTAGGCCTTTGCTAATACTCAGCAAGGATTCTTCTGAAATAAAGCATTTCTCCAGGGGCTGCAAATAAAGTAGTCAGATCAAGTGAGAAAAATAAGCGGCCAGTATGTCTGGCATAAACCCAGTCTCCATGGGTGCACACTGGATGGACCGGGGCCTATGGGAACTTCTGGCCAAACTCTATTTTGCAGATAAGGAAATCCACAGCTACAGATAAATTATAAAATATTGCACTTTACTTTGTGAATTATATATTTACTACATTTCTCTAAGGTGCTCTATGCAAACTAATTTTCAGTCCACATAAATTTGGGAAATGTAAACATTTACAGAGTTTGGGAGCAAAACACAGGACTATATGGTTTAGAGAGAACTTGCAGCAAAGAATTCTATTTAGCTTTGTTTAACCCAATTAACCCCAAAGGGTATTTGTCCATAGAACTCTTCTTCCCCACAAGTAACATCTGGTAACATCTGCATATTTGCATTAGGATCATTGGGAGGTGTTGGGATATAGTAGGATCTGGATATTTGGGTCTCAAAAAGTACAACATCCTTAATGAGGTCCAGCTCTTTGCAGTGGGGCGAAATGGAGGCCTAAGGAATTCTTCCTGCCATAGTTCAGCTCAAACCTCAGCTAAGAAACTCATCAGGGACAGAAGCATCCAGGCCCGGTACTGAGGCCATGTCTTCCCTCCATCATATTCCTTCCTCTTGGCTACAGATTCCCAACTCTGAGGAGTGAAGCTCAGGAGAAGAGCTTCTTCTCATCAACTCTGGACCCAGGGCCACCAGTACCCCCAATTCCACCCTGCATGTGTCATTTGGAAATTTAGTTCTTGTTGATTACAAAAGTCACATCATTTTTTATACTTAGTAACACTGCCTCTCTGGTGATTACCAGAGGGAGAAGGGGTCGGGGGAGCTAGAAGAGTAGAAGAGGGTAAAGGAAGAAGATTTGACTTGGATGGTGGTGAACACACAGTACAAATAAACAGATGATGTATCATAGAATTGTGCACCTGAAATATATGTAATTGTATTAACCAATGTCACCCCAATAAATAAATATATATATATACTAATTTTATTACATACTAATTTTATTACATACTAATTTTATACTAATTTTATTTTATATATATATAATTTTATTATATACTAATTTTATACAGTTTCATATATATATATGAAACTGCCTTTCACTAACATGTATACCTACTTACTGTTCTGTCTCACTGAAGTAGAGTCCAGGGACAGAACTCTCAGCAGGAAAATGAAGGTCAGGGGAAGTCTGATCTTCACATGTCCTCATCACTGCCCTCAAGGAGTTTACGAAAGACCAATAATGGCGACGAAACAAATGCTTGGAATGGTTATGCTTGTCAAAATGAAAAAGGGGATGTGAAAGCAAATATTTGTTTTGTACTTTTCCTATCAAAATAATTTATTTTGCAACAGTGATCTGGAAAAGCTGCAGAATAGTGATTGATAGATAATACGAAGAGGGACATGAAAAAATGGCAAGAACAAGAGTATGTAACTCTGAGCTGACAAGGATAAAATTGATGAGAATTTTGGTGGTTTGCCTCTAAAGCAGTGGTTCTCAACCTTCTGGCCCTTTCAATACAGTTCCTCATGTTGTGACCCAACCATAAAATTATTTTTGTTGCTACTTCATAACTGTAATGTTGCTACTGTTATGAATCGTAATGTAAATATCTGATATGCAGGATGGTCTTAGGCGACCCCTGTGAAAGGGTCGTTCGACTGCCAAAGGGGTCGCGACCCACAGGTTGAGAACCACAGCAAAGGATGTGGAAAGAAAGTAGCCAATGAAAGGCAGCTAGGCATTGACCTCAGGCTGGGCTTTATGAGGCAAGTAAAAAATGCCAGAATGGGCTCCTTCAGTTTTCCCCGTTGTTCATCGGTGCGAATAAGTTGATTCTACTCCACGGGTGCTGAGCAGAGAGAATGAAGGAAGATGGTACTCCCTACGACTGCTGTGAATCCAATGACTTGAGCTGCCTGGTAGTTATTGTCGTTCCAGTGGAGAAATAAATTCCACAGAACAGATCTAATGCAAACAAACAATAACAAATAGAAAGACTCGGGCTTTCTTGAAAAATGCCCTGGTATAAGCTCCTTATGAACCATTTAGAGTGTAATTTCCTCAGCTTAAAATATTCCTCTGTCCTTTTCTCACCTGGTGAAATGTGTGTATCTTTTATGACCTATTGTAATATTCCTGCCTCCTCTCTAAAGCCTTCCTGATCGCTCCAGCATGCAGACTGGTGACTCCCTGGTCAGAGGTCTACACTCTACCTCTCACTCGTCCAGCACGTAAAGCAAAACATTGTGATCAATTTGTGTCTATCTTCTCTATTGTGAGTTCCTTGAAGACAGGAGTAATGTCTTATGGACTTGATATAGAGTCTCATATCCCATCGTGGCTCAAGCATTATTTGGTGAACGAATGAATGAGTCAATAAACAAATGATATTGCTGCTAAAGTTTCCATGCCTCTGGAGTCTCTGGAACCTTAGCTGCCCTCCAGAAAATTATTTCTCAGACTGAGGTTTGTGGGCCACTGGTGGCCCTTAAATGCCTTCTTTGGAATCACTGTGTTGACTGTGCATTGTTCTGAGAAACACAGCAAGGCAGAAGTAGAGGAAATTTTAATCAGATTTTCTGAGTAGCCTTTGAATCATAGCATAACCTCCTCTAGACCTAATGCCCTTTCCACTAGAAAGAAACAAAACAGCACATTAACTTTTTGGCCTTTGCAACCACACAGCAGTCTGAACCACACACCCAACACAGTTGCTTCCCCAGCTGTCGCAGACGTGTATAGGCCAAGACTGAGATGAGAATCCTGGGGCCAGAGGGTCAATGTAATTGAGTTAAGTGTGTGTGATAGGATGAGCAGCACATGCAATATTCAAAGCAGCACATGCAATATTCAGAGCAGCACACTTGAAGTGCCTGCCTGCAGGCTCTCTTGTTTTCCCAGCTCACTGGTACCTTACTTCTTAATGACTCCTGCCTGCCAGAGGGCTGCTTCTATTTCCAGGAGGCTGACAGGCTCTAAACACACACCTGGAGTCATCAGCAATCACCAGCTTATGATGCATTAAAAATGCAACACCATCTAACCCAATCCAAACTCTGATTCCTGGAGGCAAGCTCTGTGCAGAGCACAGTGTGATTCTGCCACAAAATACATGATGTGACTCAGCCACCACTGAAGAGCATGCATTTGGGGGGGATTTTAATATAGTGCTTAGCATTTATTGAGCTCCTATTAGATGTCAGGAGACGGGCTCTATTGATATTATTGTACTCCTTTCAGTAACTCCAAGATGAGCTATCATTGTCTATTCTTTACACATGTGAGTACTGAGTCTCATAGAAGTGAAAAAAAAAAGAGTGGCGAGATGTCACATAGGAGAAAAAAGAAAAGATTTACATCTAAGTCTGAAATGACAAAACATGTTCCTTCTGCTTTGCCACTTGCTCTCTCTCTCTCTTTTAATATATTTTATTGGTTTTTTACAGAGAGGAAGGGAGCGGGATAGAGAGTTAGAAACATCGATGAGAGAGAAACATCGATCAGCTGCCTCCTGCACACCCCCTACTAGGGATGTGCCCGCAACCAAGGTACACGCCCTTGACCGGAATCGAACCCGGGACCCTTCAGTCCGCAGGCCGACGCTCTATCCACTGAGCCAAACCGGTTAGGGCACCACTTGCTCTCTTAACAATGATAAAATTAATGACAACCTCTCTCTCTTCCTGCATTGTCAAATGTCTCAGAGAAGTTGACTTTCTCCACTGGGTTCATTTCCTACTTCCGGCTTTCTCTTTAATCTAGTGCTGTCTGATTTCTGGCCTTTCGGTGGATTGAATTGTGTTGCTGTATAATTTGTAGGTTGAAGGTCTAACCCCCCAATATGACTATATTTGAAGATATGGCCTTTAAGGAGGTCAAGTTAAATGAGGGCATAAGGATGGGACCCTAATCCAATGCAACTGCTGTCTTTATAAAGATGAGAGAAAGAGAAAGAGAGAGACCTGGGATACACATGCATAGGGAAAAGCCGCGAAGACACAGCAAGAAGGCAGCCATCTGCAAGCCCCTGGGAGAAATCTCAGGAAAAGAACCCTGTGGGCTCCTTGATTTTGGACTTCATGTCCCAGAACCATGAGAAAATAATCTTCTCTTGGTTAAGCCACCAGTCTATGGCATTTGGTTCTGGCGGCCTGAGCAAACTCGGAACTGGATTCAAATGACACAATAAGAATAAAAGCAGGTCTTGTTATTCACCAAGTTTGCCCAGTGAGTGCTGGGCAACTTGTTAGTCAATCATATTATTTATTCTTTACCATGACCATTAAAGAAGTGATTATCATCCCCAATCTAAAGATGAGGCTTGGGGATTCTAAGTGGCTTGCTCAAGGTCAGGTGGCTGGTTAGTAATGAAGCAGACAAGGACTCTAATTTTTCTAAGCACTTGACTGAGATTGTTAATAAAAACCACCCTCCGATAGAGAGCTTTTGTTCCAAGCCTGGCTGTATATTATCTCATTCTGATACTGACAAAAATTCTGTGAGGTATTTGTTATTGCCCTTATTTT